AACAGCAATGTGATTGCCCAGGACCAGGCAGTGTTTTATTCTGTTGTGCATAGGATCTCTATGAGTCGGTATTGACTCGATGGCACCTAACAACAACTACAAATGTTATTGCGCTGTGGATTAATGTGCTGGACTGCAAAGTTGGTTTGAAACACAAGGTCTTCCCTTCAAGCTCACCAGCTGCTCTTCTGAAACCCTATATAGGGTCGCTATGAGTGGGAACCGACTTGATGGCGCTTCAACAAACAACAAAATGTGATAGATGTCTGGAAATGCTTCTTTTTGGTGAAGCATGTGACATTAGCTGATATTTATGATGTTGCTACTGCCCATCCAGGCAGGTTGGAAACCACTCAGTGAAGATTTTACCTTTCCCCACACCCTCTGGAACTAGGTTCCCTATTGAAAGCTTGTAAGTCAGTCACTTTTTGCCTTTGTTTGGGTAGCCAATGTTTAAGTGGCTCATCCTTGTCAACCCTGTGTACCAAGGGAGTGGGAATGATCCTTGCTGTAAAGATTTGTTCCTTCCTTTGACCTACTGCATCCACAAGCATAGGTCAAGTTAATCAAATTGTAGTGGATTACTCTTTTTTCCCTCTTCTTTCTTCCTTTAGCTGAGTTCTGATCATCCAGCCATTGAAGCCAGGTCAAGTGGGTACTATCTACAAAAATAGGTGTTATTGTGCATCTCCCCTCATTTCATAGCAGCTGGATGCTTCACACTCCTCTCTAGTCCTCTGTTGCCGTGTCCCTCTCCCTGGGCCCAGGATTCCCCAGGTCTCATCATACTGCTGGCCAACTAGATCTCAATCCAGGTTAACAGGAGTCTATTGAGTGTGGGCAGGCTTAGCTCACAACTTCATTGCTGTTTTTCCCCCCACTTCTTATTGGTGACCAATGTGGTCAGCAGAAAGCCCACATGCCTGCTTGTGTATTCCCCTTGAGTTTTAGCCTTGGAAGGGGGTTTGCCCTGAGGGGACCTGGCCACTTGCCTCGATGGCTCCTGGGGGAACAACTTGCTTGTTCTTGTAGTAGTCAATCAGACTGCGATTATTGTTTTTGATTTTT